GAATTTGCAACAGCATTGATGGACCTGGAGAGCATTATGCTAAGTGAAATAAGCCTGTCAGAGAAAGATAAATATCACATGATCTCACTCACATGTGGGATATAATGAACAACATAAACTGAGGTACAAAAACAGATCCAGAGACAAAGAAACACTGAACAGGCCGTCCAACCTCAGAGAGAAGACAGGGGAGCGGGAGTAGGAGATCAGCCAAAGGACTTGTATGCATGCATATTAGCATAACCAATGGACACGGACACTGGGGTTGTGGGAGTGGCCGGGGAGGGGGCAGTCAATGGGGGGAAAGGAGACATATGTAATACTTTAAACAATAAGATAAGACAAGAAAAAGCAATGGTGATGCTTAGAGTGTTAGGGCGGCCGAGGCTTTGCGGGGAAGAACCTCATCTCCATCATCGGATACGGGTTGGGGGATGGGGGCTCTGAGTGCCATCCCACCCTGGGGGAGGCCCCGCGCCTCTGGTCGCTGTGCCTCTAGCCCAGCGGTTCTCAACCTGTGGGTCGCGACCCCTTTGGGGGTCGAACAACCCTTTCACAGGGGTCGCCTAAGACCATCGGAAAACACATATATCATTACATATTGTTTTTGTGATGAATCACTATGCTTTCATTATGTTCCATTTGTAACAATGAAATTGGGGGTCACCACAACATGAGGAACTGTATTAAAGGGTCGCGGCATTAGGAAGGCTGAGAACCACTGCTAAGCCCTCGTGACACCTGCCCACCCACGCAAGGCCCCTCGGGGCTCTCTGCGGGCCAGGCTGGAGTCTAGCTTCTGAAGCTGTGTTCTCTTTTCCTCAGAAATACCTGAAGAAGCAGGTCACGCCCCTCTTCCGTCATTTTGAAAATGTCACCAATAACTGGACGAAGCGCCCCGAAAACCTGATGGACCAGTGAGTGTGACCTCCTCTGGGTCTGGGGGTCATGGGGGCCCCAGCCACCCTGACCTGGGGAGTCCAGAGCAACACCCAGGCCGTGTCCCCCCGGACCTCCCCACTCCTGGCTGGACTGGGAGCACCAGGCGGGGAGGAGCCCCCAGCACAGGGGCCCTGCCACCCCCGTGGGGCCTGTGGCCCATCTGGACTCTTCGCACAAGGGACCCAACTGACACTCCGAGGTCCCCTCACCGATTGGTCATCGAGATCCTACATGGGGAAGCTGGGGCCGGACCCTGTGCTGGCCCCTGTGGGTCCCCAGGCATAGAGCAAAGGGGGGACCCAGAGGACATGGCGGGCTGCAACCTTAGCGCCCGGCCTGGCCGCCCCTCCTGGAGCCGCGTGTCAGCTGGGGAGTCCTGGCCGGGCGTCTGACCGAGTGTCCCCCGGGGCAGGTACAACGAGGTCAATGCCATCAGCACCGCCTGCTCCAGTGGGGTCCCCGAATGCAAGACACTGGCGTCGGACCTTTTCTCCAAGTGGATGGCTGACCCCAACAACAATCCGTGAGTGTCCCCTGCTCCTCCCCCATCTTCATTCGTCCCTCAAGCCCATAGCCCTGTCTTCACCACCCTCCTTGCTGCTGCTCACGGCTGACCCCCGCCCCCATATCCCATCCCCCACACCAGGATCCACCCCAACCTGCGGTCCACCATCTACTGCAACGCCATCGCCCAGGGCGGCGAGGCCGAGTGGGACTTCGCCTGGGAGCAGTTCCGAAAAGCCACCCTGGTAAACGAAGCGGACAAGCTCCGTGCAGCCCTGGCCTGCAGCAAGGAGGTCTGGATCCTGAACCGGTGAGGGCCTGCGGGCGCGGCGGGCGAGTTCCCTTCCCCACGGGATCCGGGGTAGAAGGGAAAGAACCAGCCTCACAGGGGCCTCCACACTCACCAAATGGCACAGTGGGGCAGGGTGTTCCCATTTCACAGATGGGGACACTGAGGCTCGGAAAAGCCAAGCAGCTTGCCCAAGGCCAAGAAGCTTCAAGGAGTGTTAGAGTCAAGGTTCGAGCCCCAGTCTGGGCTCATGCCCTATGCCTTTTTCTTCTTTAAGTATTTCATTCTTCTTGTATTTTTATTTTATTTTATTTTTTATTTCAGAGAGGAAGGAAGAGGGAGAAAGAAACATCAATGATGAGAGAGAATCACTGATCGGCTGCCTCCTGCACGCCCCTTACTGGGGAACGAGCCCCCCAACCTGGGCATGTGCCCTTGACTGGAATCGAACCTGGGACCCTTCAGTCCGTAGGCCGACGCTCTGTCCACTGAGCCACACCAGCTCAGGCTCATGTCCTGACCCTTCAGTCCGCAGGCCAACGCTCTATCCACTGAGCCACACCAGCTAGGGCTCATGTGCCTTTAACTGCTGCAGCCTCTTAGCCTTTACTTGACAGTGACTCAGTTTCCCTCTCTGTGAAGGGCTGTGGCACAGCTGGACCTCAGTCCTTCTGGATGCCCAGACGAACCCCCAAGCCCTTGATGAGGGCCCCTGGCTCCCACTGTGTGCCTCAGACGCCATCTCCTAGACCCCAGTAAAGCAGGACCACCACCCTACATGGGACAGGGCTCACAGCTCTTGTTCCTTCATTCCCTGTCAGATGCCTGTCAAATACCAGGTCCACGTGCGGCATGACACCTGGCCTAGCCAGCGACCCTGCACAGGGGCCTCAGTGTCCCCGCTTCAAGAGGGAGGCAGGAACAAGGGGTCTTAGCCCTTGGCATGCCGAGGGGATGGCAAAGGGTGGAGGACAGCTGTGGGGGGAGGGCAGGCTCCTGTGCCAGCCTGGCTCTCTGTCGAGTCATCTGACTGCAGCCCTTGGACGTGGTCACTAACGCGGATCCTGCCCGCACAGGTACCTGGAGTACACCCTGGACCCCAACCTCATCCGGAAGCAGGACGCCACCTCCACCCTCAGCAGCATCGCCGGCAACATCATCGGGAAAACCCTGGCCTGGGACTTTGTCCAGATCAACTGGAAGAAGCTCTTCAATGAGTGAGTCAGCTGAGAACATGTCAGCGGGGCCTGAGGGTGGTCTTTGTGCACAGGACACGCGGGGCTGGGAGAGGTGGGTGAGCCCTGCAGAGGGGTGGGGGCAGGAATTGAAAGAACAGATGGGGGACGGGCGGTCCCTTTTCCCACTTGGAGGGAAGAAAAAGTCGGGCTGGTGGGAGTGATGTCCGGAGAGACGGGAGCCAGGGCGCCGTAGTGAAAGCTGTGTTCAGGCCCCCTTGAGGGGGCCGGTTCATCTCATCTACAAGATGGACCATCACAGGGCGGATGTGAGGATCCCGTGTCCCCTGTCAATCACTGAGTGCTAGTTCCCGCCCTCCTCACGGTTCATCTCTCTCCCTGACCTGCAGTTACGGTGGCGGCTCCTTCTCCTTCTCCAACCTCATCCAGGCCGTGACGCGACGGTTCTCCACTGAGCACGAGCTGCAGCAGGTAAGTAGCCCTGGGCCCCGGGGACCATCCTGGGTCTAAGGGGCGGCCACCGCTCAGTTCCCTCCGAGTGTGGTCACAGGGCGCGTGGGTTCCTTGTAGTCGGGCCTCCGCATTGAGAAGGGAAGCTGGGTGTCCAGACTTTTTCAATGGTGACAGTTCAATCCAAGAAGTTCTCTTGGAATTTTTGCAAAAGGAAAGAGGATAAAATCATGAACCTTCATAAACCCATCACTCAGAACACTTACCAACATTTTCCCGACACTTTGTGAGGTGGATACATTTTCGGGCTAATCACTGATATTATGTAATTTCACCTCTAAATACTTTAGTCATATCTCAAACAAAGGAATTTTAAAAACATTATGTCACTGTTATTAGCAGATCCAAGAAAATGAATGACCATCTTATACCCAGGCCGTTTTCAAATTATCTAAGTTTTTTTTTTTAATTTCTTTTTGTCATTGATATGTTTGAATTCTGAAGCCAAAGTGAACTCATCGCCTTAGGTTGATTTGTCTTGTTTTTAAATTGAGATTAAAAAAAATTTTTTTTGAGATATAATTCCTGTATTATAAAATTCACCATTTTCAGTGGTTTTTAGTATATTTACAAAGTTGTGCAACCATCGCCACCATCTAATTCTAGAGCAGCGGTTCTCAACCTGTGGGTCGCGACCCCTTTGGGGGTCGAACGACCCTTTCACAGGGGTCGCCTAAGACCATCGGAAAACACATATATCATTACATATTGTTTTTGTGACTCATCACTATGCTTTCATTATATTCAATTTGTAACCATGAAAATACATCCTGCATATCAGATATTTACATGACGATTCATAACAGTAACAACATGACAGTGATGCAGTAGCAACGAAAATAATTTTATGGCTGGGGGGCACCCCAACATGAGGAACTGTATGAAAGGGTCGTGGCATGAGGAAGGTTGAGAACCGCTGTTCTAGAGCATTTTTATTACGCCTAAAAGGAACCCCACACCCATTAGCCGTCACTCCTCATTCCCGTCTCCAGCCCCAGGCAATCACTAACCTATTTCCTGTCTCTGTGGACTTGCCTCTTCGGACATGTCATACAATGGACATATACAGCATGTGACCTTTTGTGTCTGGCTTTTCTCACTTAGCACAATGTTCTCAAGGTCCATCCATGGCGTAGCCCGCATCACTGGGCTATGGCTGAGTCCTATTCCACTGTATGGAGGTGCCACTTTTGCTAATCCATTGAGCGGCAGATAAACATTTGGGTTGTTTCTACCTTTTGGTTATTATGAATAACACTGTTATGAACATTCATGTACAAATTTTTGAGTGAACACATGTGTCTTCATTTCTCTTGGGTCTGCACCGAGGAGTGGAATTGCTGGGTCATTTGGCAACTCTATGTTTAACTTTTTGGTAAACTGCCAAAATGTTTTCCATAGAAGCTGTACCAATTTACATCCCTGCCAGCAATGTACAAGGGGGCCAATTTCTTTCTCTTTTTTAAAAATATTTTTATTGATTTCAGAGAGGGAGGAAGAGAGTGAAACATCCATGGTGAGAGAAAATCACTGGGGATGGAGCCTGCAGCCCGGGCATATGCCCCTGACCAGGAATCTAACTGTGGCCTCCTGGTTCATAGGTCGGTTCTCAACCACCGACCCACGCCGGCCCGGCGGTGGTGTCTGGCCTCCTGGTTCATAGGTCGATTCTCAACCACCGACCCACCCAGCCCGACAGTGGTGTTTTTTGATACATAAGTTTTTTTTCTTTTGATGAAGGCCACCTTTCTTTTTTGTTGTTGTTGTTGCTTGTGCTTTTGGTGTCATATCTAAGAAACAGCTGCCAGATCCAAAGTCACCAAGACTTACACCTGTGCTTTTTACTAAGAGTCTTACCATTTGAAGTCTTGCATTTGAGACTTGGATAAATTTTTCCTTAGTTTTGTATGCGGTGTAAGGTAGGGGTCCCGCTTCATTCCTTTGCATGTGGCTATCCAGTTGTCCCCGCCCCGCTTGTTGAAAAGACCGTTCTTTCCCCATCAAATGGTCTTAGCACCCTTGCTGAGTATCAGCTGACCGCAAATGTGAGGGCTTCTATCTGGACTCTCAGTTCTGTTTCATTCATCTATCTGTGCAGCCTTATGCCAGTACCACTCTTTTATACATATGTATATGTTTTTACTGATTTCAGAGAGGGAGAGAGAGAAACATCATTGATGAGAGAATCACTGATCGGCTGTCTCCTGCACGCCCCCTACTGGGGATCGAGCCCACAACCTGGGCATGTGCCCCCTACCGGAATCAAACCCAGGACCCTTCAGTCCGCAGGCCAACGCTCTACTCACTGAGCCAAACCAGACACGGCCCACTCTGTCTTGATGACTATAGCTTTGTAGTAGTGAGTTTTAACATCAGGAATATGAATAACACAACTTCGTTCTTTTGCAAGATTATTTGTCTCTTCTGGGTCCCTTGAATTTCTGTATGAGTTTTAGAATTGGATGCTAATTTCTGCACGAAAGGGCCATTGGAACTTTGATAGAGATTGCATCGAATCTAGATCCACTCGGAGAGTATTGCTATATTAATAACATTACATCTTCCAATCCATTAACATTTATTTGGGTCTCTTTTCCTTTCATTTGGGTCTTCTTAATCTCTTTCCAAAATGTTTCATAGTTTTCAGCAAACCAGCCAGTCTTGTACTTCTCTCGTCAAATTTATTTCCAAATGTTTTATTCTTTTTGATGCTATTGCAAATGAAGCTGCTCTCTTAATTTCGTTTTCAGATTTTTCATGGCTACTATGTAGAAATGCAATTGATTTTTAACATATTGCTCTTGTATCCTGCAACCTTCTGGACTCATTAGTTCTAATAACCTTTTTTGTAGATGTCTGAGGATTTTCTGTGTACAGATCATGTCCTCTCCAATTAGAGACAGTTCTATTTCTTCCTTTCTTGTCTAATTGCCCTAGTTATAACGTCCAGTACTAATGCATTTTTTAATCTGTAACATCTATTAAAAAAAAACCACCAAAAAAACATTTTATTGGTCGAAGCAACTGGGTCGTTTGTATTCTGAAAGTGGCCACCTTTTTAATCTAGCTGCTCGGTTGTCATGGTGTGTGTTTCATTGGCCACTCTCTCCTCCCTTGATTGGATTGAGACCGCAATTCAATTAAAAACCGACAGTCAGTGCAGTAAAGAATCGCACAGCGAAGGCTAATCTAGGAGCCGGATTGAGCCCCAGGGGCTGTCATCTCTGAGCTCTGCTCCAGATAAAGGCTGGGCCCCAGGGGAGGGGGAGGACCAGGATGGGCCCTCTGCCCAGAGCTGCGCGAGACCAGCCTGGGCTGAGACCCGCTCCCTTTCCCCGGCAGTTGGAGCAGTTCAAGAAGAACAACATGGACACGGGCTTCGGCTCAGCCACGCGGGCCCTGGAGCAGGCCCTGGAGAAGACCAAAGCCAACATCAAGTGGGTGAAGGAGAACAAGGAGGTGGTGCACAAGTGGTTCCAAGACCACAGCAACTAGTCCCCGGTCTGCGCAGTCGCCCGGCCCCCCGTGAGGTGCCCACAGGCATCTGTCCCAGCGGCCCACCCACCGCGGGACCCCCTTTCCGGACCCCGAGGCCCCACGTCCTCCCTCAGGGACTGCATCCCAGCCCACGTTCCCTCCGCTCTGTCCATGGAGCCAACCCAGCTCCTGGCGGCCCGACTGTTCAAGCACCTCCCAGCCCCCCCGCCCCTCGTGCCAACCGCACCCCAGGCCTGGCATGGCCCCTGTCGCCCAGGGCCCTGGGGCTGATCTCAGGGAGGCCCGGCTCCAGGGCCAGAGCAGCAAAGCCCTACGTGGACTTGGGTCGGCCTTGGGGAGCTGCCTGCGCTCTCTCTCACCTTCCCATGAGGACCCTGAACCTGGAGACTCCACCGGACACCAGATCTGTATATTTTTTTTCTAAGAGAAAATATAGATAAAGGATTTCTAGAGGAGCTTCCAGACTCATGACTGAACCAGAACAGGAGGGGTCCGCACAGCAGCTGGGGAGCCTGGGCTGGAGGGAAGCGGTGTTGGGGGGAGGTGGAGGGAGTTGGGGGGGTGCTGGGCCGTCCTGCAGAATACTTGTGGGCGCTGTCTGCTGCGTTTTCCTTTCACCTGAGTACTGTGGGTGCTGGGGGCCTGGGGAGCAGAGGGCAGCCCCAGGCACAGTGTTCCATGGCGGGCGGGGTGCCAGCCAGGGCAGGTCCTGCCAGTGTCCCTCTTCCTGCACCGCAGCCGCACACCTGGGACAGCGAGGGGAAGGGCAGAGCCTGCCACCCCCCCAGGGTCCATGGGGGTGGGTGTGATGTCAGTTCGTGACCTTGTTATGGAGAGAAGCATGCTGAAAACGGCAGGGCCCCCTGTCCCCTGGGGGGGCTGGTGGCCAGGGCCACCACTGAGGGCAAGGCCTGGGACCTGTGGGCTCCACGGACCTCATCGGATTTGCTGGGAATTTCTTGGCAAATGGAGCTAGGTCAGTGGTTCCCAGCGTGGGGCACACACCCCACAGGGGGGCAGTTTGATGTTTATGGGGGGGCAATTTGAGAATGACTTATTCACAGTGAATCTTTTGCATTTCTTGTGGTTCTAGGGGCCTCATAAACAGTCTATAAATGTATATTGTGGTATATTTATGCAATTCAGTTCTCTATGGGTTTTTTTTAAATATAACTTTTTTTATTGATTTCAGAGAGTAAGGAAGAGGGAGAGAGAGACAGAAACATCCATGATGAGAGAGAATCATGGATCAGCTGCCTCCTGCACGTCTCTCACTGGGGACTGAGCCAAGCCGGGCATGTGCCCTTGACCGGAATCGAACCTGGGACCTTTCAGTTCGCAGGCCGATGCTCTATCCACTGAGCAAAACCGGCCAGGGCTCTATTCTATGTTTTGAAACTTTATTTGCTATTTCTTCATATCACTTCATATTGCTATTATCTTTTTAACCGTTTCTTAAGTGATTTCTTCCTCAGTGCTTCCACTGTCCTTCCGTTCTTTTATTTCTGTCCTTTCATTCTTTTATTTCTCTCTCTCATGGATGCCATGTGGTTTGGAAGCTTGTTTAGACCAGGTTCATGGCCTTTGAGGCTTCCTCCACGTGAATAGGAGCTCACTTTTTGAATAATAATAATTCTATGTCCCGGGCTGTGGGCTCAATCCCCAGTATAGGACTTGCAGGAGGCAGCTGATTCATGATTCTCTCTCATCATGGATGTTTCTGTCTCTCTCTCCCTCTTCCTTCCTCTCTGAAATCAATAAAAATATATATATAAAAAAATAGAATGCTATGTCACAAGGTAGGAGGCATCAGGATGGTAGAGGTGCTTAGGGGGGGCGTGGCCAAAGGTTGGGGACCACTGAGCTAGGTGGTAGGAAGCTCCCCTGGGCCTCAGCCCCACAAGGCCCAGCTGAGCATGCGAGGCGGTGGGAGGCAGAGAGGGAGGCACACACAGACTGAAGGCCTGCAGGGCTCCAGCTGCTGGGGCCTGGGAGTCCTGAGGCCTGGATCAATAAAAATATATTTAAAAAAAAAAGAATTCTATGTCACAGGGTGGGAGGCATCAGGATGGTAGAGGTGCTTAGGGGGGGCGTGGCCAAAGGTTGGGGACCACTGAGCTAGGTGGTAGGAAGCCCCCCCAGGCCTCAGCCCCACAAGGCCCAGCTGAGCATGCGGGGCGGGTGGGAGGCAGAGAGGGAGGCACACACAGACTGAAGGCCTGCAGGGCTCCAGCTGCTGGGGCCTGGGAGTCCTGAGGCCTGGTTTCAGATATGTCAGCCCCTGTGTCCTGGACAAGTGACCAGAATCCGGGACTTTGGTTTCGTCGTCTGCACAATGAAGAACACTGACCCTAGGGTCGGTGTGTGGATGGAAGGAGTCTGTGTACTGACCCCTGGGCTAACGGGTAAGAGGAAGTGGCTGTTATGATGGTCCTAGACCTGTCTCTGGGTTCAAGGCCCTCTCCCCTCACAGGCCCAGTTGCTCCACTGGTGCCCGCACATCAAAGGATGGGGCGGGGCCAGCCGAGGGGGGGGGG